AGGCAGGTATTGCCTTGTTGGTATGTTAGTAATATATTTTAAATTTGACGCACTGCCCAAGATCCGACAGATTTGAAATTTTGTATAGACATGTAAGTCAGATAACAATGTCATATTATGGTGTCAGTAAGCCGATATGATGATGAAGGCAGACGGTGGTCATAGGAACATGGCAATGAAATAACGCAACTGCATCGTTTTTGGGCTCTTTGGATCCGTCTTTATGAGAACAACAACATATTGAGATTAAACTCAAAAGATTTTTTTTAAATAAGCTTTTATTTGTTCGCACTAAAAGATAAAAAAATAAATTCTAAACATTTAAAGTAGTTGTAAACAAAATTTTCTCTAACAGTAACTGAAATGAAAAGCTTGTAGCGCGTAAAAAATATGTGTATTTCCTCCCCTCCTATTTCATTAGCGCTACAAGCTTTTCGAGTTAATTACTGTTACAGATTTTTTTTATTATAAATATTTTAAATGTTTAGAATCTATTTATTTATGTTTTAGTACGTTTTAACTTGACGCATGCAGGGGTCCCATAGTGGATGCGGGGCCCATAGGCAGTCGCCTACTCTGCCTCAACTCCGGCTCTGCACATGGTGATCAATGTATGTTCTTGGTCATTCAACCTATTGGCGGCAATCACGTAATTTGCTTCTACTCCGTAACTCGCTAGATACTACGTCATCGACCTCGTCAAGTTATAAATTAAAAACTTCCCTCATATTTCCCTCTCTAACCTTCATTCAACCTTATAACGTTCGTAACTAACGATGTCATTTTTTATGTTGTGTTCCATACCTTACATACCGATAAAACCCTCACCCTTTTTTGCATATGTCCCACAATCGAATTAAAATATTTATCTTGTCCATACATATTCTAATAAGGAAACTAGAAAGGACAGGTATAGCAAGTAGCGCGCCCGGGGATCGAACCAGTGTTATTGTGCTCGCATACATTACGAGGCAATATTGGGGCCGGTTATTTGCATAGTATTGTCCGGTGGTCGCCGTATTAACATTTAGACTGGGCCCAAAAGCACATGGCAATAGGACATGCCTGGTATTAGGTGGGTTGCATAAGAACGGAAGGAACGGCTCGGATTTAAATGGATTAAGCCTTGAGGAAAACAAAACGGTAGGTATCAGCTGAAAAAACTCCATCGTAAATAAAACTAAATCGTATAAAACTCATATTGTCACGATTGCATATGAGTTGAGACCCGGAGCGATATATTTCAATAAAAAAATGGCAGCCCGGACGACAGATGATTAAACAGCTGTTTCGAATTCAAGACTTTGATATTCGAGAGCAGCGGTTACCACTTTCAAACGGATAAGCAATGAAGCTACACGAAATCACAAATATTAGAAATCGAACATAATTATTAATCTACTAGTAATAGATTTTTTATTACAAAGGAAGGCACAATAAGATACAACTGATATGGGTCATTGATGTACCTGCACAGAAGGCTAAATTTTGAAGAGTAGCAAATGTCTGCTAGTCGACATGCTACGCTTTGTATTTTTTACCTTTTCAATACTTGCCGGTTATTCAATCTATATATAGCCCTGAAATACTTTCCCCAGTAATTGGATAAGAATTGTCACTGGGTTTATTCCAGCATTGACTAAGCATTTTTTACCGGGCCTATAATATGCCAAGCCGGTCATAAGTCGGGCTTCCTCCTAGTTATCGCTTAACTATGGTGGGTCGTGAAGTTTTCTTCGTGATCTGAAACTAGAAGCGGTTCAAAACCGTTTCGAAACCTCTCCAATCGAGACTATACAGTCAGTGACAAACCATTCCCAATCACTTTGAGAACAATATTATCAACGAGACACCATGACTAGTTTCTATTTGATAAGTTCTTATACCTACTTATTTAAAATTAAGGGGAAGGGGGGAATTAATAAAAAAACTAATCTTGACACATACCTCATTTTATTACAAATATTAATTGCACATAAGAACATTTCATACAAAAATATATTCTTAATTGAAAAGAATCCCATTAAAACAAACTAGAAAACAGCAATAGAAAGTAATTAGCTCTTTTGTTATTAATAAAAAATACATCTTAGGTAGATATTATTAATACAGATTAATAGTTATGCAGAATATTAAAAACATTATTTTGCGGCAAATCAGATGTCAAGAAGTATATTTTTTATCATTTAAAAATTAATTGTAAAACATTATTAAATCAATTACATTATTTAAATAATGATTACTTTCAAAATAAATTATATATAAACACATTTTTCTATCGAAGAGGAGCTTAAGCTGTAAGCATTTAAATATAATAATTATGAAAAAAATTAAGCTACTTGCGACTTCACTTGACAATGCAAGTTCAACTTTAGAATTTGTTGATAATAATTATATTTATATAAAAATTCAACAATCTATCTAACTGTTATATACATTTGTGACAATAAATGGTAACGTTTGTCTTTGAATTTAATATTTAAAATAAGTAATAATTATGCATAGACTCTAGGTGATCATTTAGTGAATAAATTTTATATTTTTTTCTATCACATTATCATTATTAGTTAAACTCTTATAACTCGCCAAAGATATTCAGTTGAGACTTAAGAATATTTGAGACAATGGTACAGTCAATAAGAAAATATATTGTGACAAAATTTTATTAACATTAAGAACCAAAAATAGCACGGTTAGCTGTTGATTAACTATAATTATATAAAAAAAAACACTAAATTATTTTTTTTTTATTTTACACTAAATTATAAGTTTGTCTACTTAAAAAATATCTTATCGTTTAAAACAAGATCGTGTATCTGAAGAGTTCTCATAATTTTCTTTATACTGTTTTAATGTGTCATGGAGAATATTGTACAGTTTGTGATCATTTTATTTTTAAATGGTAACTTTTTCGCCCTAAAAACTAAGTTTAAAAATTAATACGTGAAGAGTTTTTGGTAAACTATTATTACTGTGTTTGATACAATCTTCAAATCTACTTATATAAGCTATAGAAATCGCTCATTCATTGTATTGCACAAAACGCATTATGCATACCAGAGTTTTTTTTAACAACCGTCAAATTTTCCAAATTATTTCAAAACTCAGTAAGTTAAAAATCAATTTTTAAATTTTCTGAAATTCGAAATGTTGCGGTATAACCTGAGTAGCTATTATACTTTGCCATTAAAATTCATGCAAATAAAAAAGGAAAGAATTATTGTAAAGTTGTGACGTCGTTTATAGAGAGACCAGTCAGATCTTACATTCGAGTATGGGGGGTTAAAACCTCTGGCAACGACTATGGCTTTGTTATTAATTTCATTGACTTCAAACATCTCATTTGCTGTTACGAGCTTAAGTTTAATGAATTTATTTTCATAATTTATAAACATTGTCTGCTATCAAATAAAAAAAAACATAAACTAATGATATGTGAATCGATGGAATAAGCACATTGTGTGCAAATAAATACACTTGTTTGGATTGGATTTACGTAATAATAGCCATCAATATTCTAGTAAAAAATTCAAAAATCATTTTTTTTAATCTTTTAAAATATATTATGTTTTTTAAATTAATACTCCTTCAGTACTTCAATTCACTTCTTTTTACATTAAATAAAATAATAACCTTCAATAATGCTTTTACCTCTGACAGGAATATCTGATAAATAAAAAAATATCTAGGGTCACATGAAACTATTCTAACTTCCATAAACAAACTTCAAAAATAAGTTTCTTCGATAAACGAGTTTCTTTAAAGAAAAGACGTATCTATTAAACGTTTGTAAGGAAGTGTACCAACATTTGAATGAAAAACAAAATGAAAACGGGCACTCTGAGTAATTCCACGACGAGACCACTTAGGGACAAATGAAAATATGAGCCGAATTATTTCAGCTTTACGACGATTAAAGTCAAGCCTTTTTCATGGAACGTTGAAAAAAAACATTTTAGAGATATTAAAAATATATTTTCTTGGGAACACAGAATATTTAGTAAAATCATTTATTTTTAAAATACCTTTTTTTCAACCTTACCTTTGTAGATTTCATTTTAAAGAATATTATTGGGTTTTTTCTTTTGTTAAAAAATTAATCCCTATTGAAAACGAACACTAAATACGTTTTCGTTTCTTCGTTCGTTCGTTTCTACAAAAAATAAGTTTTAAAATAATTAAGCTAAACGGAAATTTTCTTTCTGAAGACTTCTACCCAGGGTCCGATTAACACATGCTGGACAATTACCCAGAGTGGTTATATTAAAAACGGCAGCAAAACCAATTTTATCTTTGAAACCTTATGCATGGTAACGCGAAAATGAATTTTAGATGGATTCGGATGTTGGATGGATTTTGGATGGATGGATTAGATGGATTGTTAAAAAAAGAAAATTGAAAGATGAAATTTATTTTTAAGCTACTGTAGCCTAAAGTTAACCAATATCATGGCTATTTAATAATTGGTGTTAGTGTATAGAGCGACAATATTTTTTTGCTCCCTTTTTAGTATCTGGATCGGGTCTTGGTTCTTTATATGCGTTATTTTAGTTGAAAAGTTTATTTGAACCCGCCTATCTCAAGAACTGCTAACATATATATGAAAAATTTCCTTTTTTATTTGATAGCCAAAATTTGAGAAAGATTATAAGCATATTTTTCTTATTATTAGATTTTCATAGTGAAATTGAGAGCTTTAGATATAAAAAAACCACCGGGAACGGCTAGCAATCTAACATTATATGTGAAATATTCCAATCAAACTTAGCCAGTAACAGCAAACTAACGAACTAAACATTAGAACTAAGATCCATATCACAATACATCTACAGATAAATAACAATTACCTGTGATGTGTTAACGAACATTTTGTTCCAACAATTTATACCTAAATTATATTAAATTATATATTATATACGTACAAGAACGTTCTTGCAATCCGATTAAAAAGAACGCTATTAAGGAAAGTCAATTCAGTTATTTTATTTTTTTTAGTTTTTCCTGTATATGGTCCACATTTTTTATTTTATGTACGGAGACAGCATCCACAATGTTTAAGACAGAACAAAATTGAATTTTATTTCCAAACGGAATACGATACATATTTGCTTAACCTTTATCGTAAAGGCAACGCGAACATTTTTCGTTCTCTAAACATTGTGGCTGTGTCGATTGACACAATTATAATGCAGTGACGAATGAAAATCCTACACAAATTTTGACAAACTTTCTGTAATAGTTAATTAAGTAGTTATCACACTGTAATACTCGTATTTTGCGCACTAAAGTTATATGAAATATGTTTCATGTTGTAAAATGATATTCATTTCGTAATAATATTAATAAAGATACTCATTTACAAGTTGTGATGGAGGATTTACTATCAGTTTTAAGCTACGCACACATTCGTGAGTATTTGTCATCGTGACTCTTTATTTCTGTCACCGTCAAGTTCGTTCAATGGAAGCCACCCAATTGTCACGTGATCAACAGCAAGTCACTGCAAATATTCTTAAGAAAGTGACAGGAGCCAAAGAACACGATGAATACACGATTGCAAAAAGTCACAAGTACGCGCATAAACTTTAACATTTTAAAATATCACATCTTATGTCATCCGTCACTGCTTTCGTGTCGTCACTCACGTGCGTCACACGCGCTATGTAGAATGTTCCAGTAGGGGTTGATGGCTGCCTTCTCTGGTGCAGTGACTGCGTGACGGCAGCGTTGTCACTTCACTGTCGTCCGTGCACGCTAACGGGGAGTAATCGACGCCGCGTGACCGTGTACGTTTCTCACCCGGCTTACTGAACATCTGCCACAAAAATTACAATTTATTGTTTTGTTGTATATAAACATTTAATCAGGGTAATAATGGGTTGAAGACTTCCCTAACAAAATCGTCACATAAAGATGTGTTTACATTTTAATATTAATTTATATTTATCGTAAAATCATTTTATAAGCGACTCTACGCTTTATATGATTTTTACCCGAATATTAATAATAAAACTAAAACAAATTATTCACAAATAAGCAAACTTAATAAAGGCTCAGCTTATCTTGACATGTGCGCTGTAATAAACGGATCTACGCTATTTAATCATTATTCACGAATTCTTTGGAGACAGACATTTCGTATGCGAAGCAAGTAAATTAGCAAATATATAGCCAACATGTGTCTTTTATTGTAAATTATCATTGTCAAAAGTACTAATTCCTTTACTTTCGAACGAACGTGATCAGTTTTATAGATAATTCAGAATTACAATGACTTTTATTGAGAAGGTCGACTGTGGAGGTCGTATCGAGCGGCTGAAACACGTTTATTCTCACAAAATTATTTTATTTTACCTAAACAGAGCAAAGAATTTGTAAAAATAAAAAAAATATATAGTGGCTCGATATTTCAATAATTTATATATACAAGTATAATTCAGCTATTTAATACGGTAATATGGCTATACAAAACTTTTAAAGTTCAAAATCAATTGTGGAAATTCGACATCATGTGGTAGCATGACTTTCCGTGTGTACTTTAATAACAGGTTGTTATTATATATATATTACTTTAAGCTAAGCTTCTTTTTCTATAACTGTTGTTTATATAAAAAAAATTAACCATAATCGAGCGAATTGGTAGATGTTAAAAATGGTAGGATCAATGGTTAACACCTAAAATGAAATTAAGATTTGATCACTTAAACTGGTTTTGTGTGGTTATAATTATGAAAAAATAACTTATACCCAGTTGCACAAATGTTAATTATGGTTTAAGGAGGACTAAGCTCCAATTAATGTTCTAAATTTAAAAGTCTGTATCGATAATGTCACTTTAAATATCATTTTTTGTGGAAATTCTGTGCAAATTGGGTTATAGTGATTTATTTTTGAAATAATCAGTATAATTTTTTATGTATAAGAATTGCAATTGTATCTTAAGTTAACATAACTATAACATACATGATTAAATTAGTAAGCAAAAAGTTACAACGTTAGTTGGTTACTTTTCCTTCACGGTAAAAGTTCCTTAAAGTAAAAAATCATCAAAAAGTAGAAAGATTTTCGAATCATTAATATGATTCGTTTATATTTTTATTATAATATCATTTGTTATTACAATGTACATAAACTACATTGTCATCAGTGGGTACTTCACTGATGTAACCTAACCAAACAAATCTCAGAAGCTATATTTCTCCATAAAAGGCACAGCGGCTATTATCGCAGAGCACTGACCTATTTATGTAGCTATTATCTCGTTATTTACAACAGCAATAATTTGGGCTAATGAGACAGGTATATGATGAAATATCTGAGAACCACCGCAACAATCAATTTACGCTATTCGGTTCGATTGTAATAGCTCCTAAATAAATGCATACCACATAGCCATTCATTTGGCGAAGACAAATATTGCCTATTCGAATGCTAGATGATAAGTGAATTAGGGTGCGTTCATACTGGTGCATATTTTTTATTCGTTTTTTTTTTTTCGGAAATCTCGTTTTTGTATTCCATATAAGTAATGGGAAAACCAGTGATTCAAAGTAGGAAAATTAATAAACTGTTGATTATGATGCATTGAATTAATGATTTATTGCAGGGGTCTCCAAAAACAGGCATTAAACAATGTTATCCGTTAGTTAAAATAAAATGTTTTACAGTATGTAACTTGAGTAAGTACACAATTTGATAACTTCTCATATATCATACTATAGGTATATATCAAACTGCACATATTATTTAAATAGTACAGTTTTACGGTCATTATTTAAAAAAAAAACATCCCTAACAAAAGTAAACGCTGTCCCTTGATTTATTGAATGAATGACGAATGATAATAAAATCCCTTGCTGACGTTTAGACTGACTAAACGTCTAAATTTCAAATTTAAACACAGTATCGTTACCCAATAGGCAATTCATATAATTACTTTTCATAGAATTCATAACAAATTCATTTCATTATAATATACACATCAAAATATTAACCCAAATCAATACCGGTCCTTTTCAAACAGTAATTCCGGGAGTAATTACTGTTTAAATTTCATTAATAAAAATAATTAGTACTTAATCAACCTGTAATGGTTCGCAGCGAGGGTTTATTAAACCGGTCAACTTCTGACAAACGACGTGAAGTCAAAGGGCAATAATATAAAGCTAGGAATTAATTATTCAGGGATGGTGTACCCTTATTAGAAGCAATCCTTTGTTTACGACCAAATGCAGCTTTTTTCACAAGCTTAATTTAAAAATATACTATTGAGAGAAATTATTTAATTTTAGAATTAAGAATCAAACATCATCATAAAAAATTACTGCAATCTCAAACTAAATTTCTGGAAAGGAATTCCTATCATATGTACACACCATATCTTTATTTTTTTACTATTTATAAAATTACAATAACTACTAGACATAGACAGTACTCACGAATTTCGACTAGCGAGATAAAGAACACGAGAAATTTGTTTTTTTTTTATTTTATTTTTTTATGGGATAGGGGGCAGACCAGCAGACGGATCACCTGATGGTAAGTGATTACCGTCGCCCATGGACACCTGCAACACCAGAGGGGCTACAAGCGCGCTAAATATTATCAAAATATTATCTATTCTTACACCTATACCATTGTTCCCAACGAACAAGAAGAAGTAAATAACTACAGTCAAAATTATTAGAGATTCAATTAAATAAAACCTTCAAAATGTAAATTCAGGTATGATTTGATTGAACATCAATACTGTGTCAGCGTCATATACAGACGCTACGTTCGCCGTCACCGTATATTTACAAAATACCAAAGCTTTACAAAATTTCATTTGTAAACGGCGCCATGTTATATTCTTATTTCAATTATTCATAATTATAACCAATTATCTCAGAGTTGAAAGAGACTTTCTAGGTAGATAATCTCAAACATATAGATAATATGGATAAGACTGCAGACTTCCCGGTTCTAAAGCTCTTCTAGAACTTTAATAAATTTAATCGTAGCATTATGTTTAGGTAATTAATAACAGTAAAATTATGAAAGAGTAGAATGACGGGCGTGAAGAGCAATTTTTTATAATGTTTAAATATTAGGCATATCCATGCTCAGCCTAAAAATCATTATCTATTCATTAAATAGTTAACTTTTGATAATAAAGAAGCATAAACGAACTGGTAACTGAAGCATAGAAAGGACACCGGTACGATGGACAGAACACCTAATGAACATTGTTCGGACTCACTGAAAGCAATTTGTTTACAAATGTTCAAAATAATAAGAATTGAGAAAGAGTTTATTTATATTTAAGAATATTCAGCAGTAGACATCCTGTGACTGAAATGATGACGGTAATGAAATCACGTACCTGCAGCACGAATAACACCGATAGGAATAGAACCAGCGCGGCGGCTACCACGCCGAGTGTGACCAAGGTCGGCGCCGGCGACGAATGAGCACTTGGTGCTGTATGCAGCGCGGACCATTCCGCGATGCGACGCTTGCCCGCCACCGAAGAGTTTATGCATTCACCTGTTATAAATACATAGTAAGTTACAATTTCATTCGTTTTTGCAGCGATAGATAGCGCTATTATTATAATTTGGTAATTTAGTATTTACAGTCTCTTCGCTAGCTTGGCGAGTGCTCTTCCAACTGAGTTGCCAGAAACTTAACGAGATGTTCAAATACTTGTTACTTTTTGAGACTACATTTTGAACATTACGGTGTTTTGGTAAATAAATAAAGCAATTACATAGACTATTGGTTCGATAAAATAAATAGCAAAAAACGGGAATATTTACGAGTACATATATATTTTTTTTTAATTAAATATAACATTTCGTCTAATCGAGGATACAGTAATTGATAATATTTCTATTAATTTCCTTACTACTGGGACACAAGCCTACCCTATGGATGGAATCGAATAGATTAGGGAGAATGTGCCATTACCTACAAAGCTGGCCCAGTGCGGATTAGTGGGTGTTAATAACAACAAATGCAGCCGGAACCAATGGCTCAACGTGCTTTTTGAAGTACATATGAGCACGATATAATCAATTTTTAGTCATCTATCCGAGCTTGTTGCTTAACTTCCTCGTACATGCCAACCACTGGGCCATCGAGCTCCTCAACACACGATGACGTCAGACTTAATACATCGTTAGCCACTAAGCAAGAAGTGTCAATTCATTAATAATACAACTCTGATTTTGTTCCGTGTTGCAACTCGTTTAGATATCTTTTTAGTAATTCGTAAGAAATCTCGAAATTCTTTTGTCATCATCGTTAAAACTAAACCAACACAATACGTATATTAATACGAGGGTCAAACTGAAAGTTCTTAGAACTGGCCACTTATAAACAATATAATAAAAAAATAATTCTAAAATTTGAAAATATAACTCTTTGCCAATATTACTGAGTATATATTTCATTCATTTGTCATTTGTTTTACGATTTGGCGGCAAATTGAAAATTGTCTGTGTCACGTCATCATGAATTTAACACGAGAAAATTTTCGTGCAATGATTTTTTATGACTTTCGATGTCATTTAAGTCAACAAGAAAGTTATGATAGACTACGATTGGCCTTTCACGATGAAGCCCCATCTCGTGCGACTGTTTACAACTGGTTTAATGAGTTTAAACGTGGTCGCACTGATCTCACTGATGATTTACGTGAGGGACGGCCTTCTACGGCGACGACTGAAGATAACATCTGTGTTGTGCGGCGTATGATAGAGACTGACAAAAGAGTGACCTATCAACAGATTCGGACAAGCTTAGGCATCGGTATGAGTCAAGTGCACAAAATCCTCCACGAACATTTAGCGGTCAGGAAGCTTTGCGCCCGGTGGATACCTCATAATTTGACTGAGGCTCAAAAACTCCATCGTGTGGATTGGTGTCGTAAAATGATTGAAAGATTTAACGGAGGTGACTCAAATGCTGTGTTCGACATACTAACAGGTGACGAAAGCTGGATTTACTGTTATGATCCTAAAACCAAAAGACAATCTGCTCAGTGGGTGTTTCCTTTCGAGGAGTTGCCAACTAAAGTGAAGAGAGATCGAAGTGCGGGAAAAAAAATGGTGGCCTCGTTCTTTGGAAGGATAGGTCATTTTGCAACAATTGTGTTAGAGGATCAAAAAACAGTTTCTGCAGAATGGTACACTACCAATTGTTTGCCACTTGTCTTGGAAAAAGTTCGAGAGAAACGACCTCGCAGTAGGATCCTCCTTCACCACGACAACGCCTCGTCGCACACCGCCAAGCGAACGATCGACTATTTGGCGACATCAAACGTTGAATTACTGGGTCACCCGCCGTATAGCCCCGACCTCGCGCCTTGTGATTTTTATTTATTTCCAAAAATTAAACAAAAACTTAAAGGAAAGCGGTTTATGAATGCTGAAGAAGCGGTGGCTGCGATCGCGATGCCATTGAAGAGACCCCTAAGGACGAGTGGGCAAAGTGCTTTTCCCAGTGGTTCCATCGCATGCAGCGGTGTATTGACGTGAATGGACAATATTTTGAAAAGATATAATAAAACTAATAACTGGCTAATGTAATCAGTTTTTGATTTTCTAAGAACTTTCAGTTTGACCCTCGTAGTAACTATTTTGATTATTTGATTCGAGTTTGAACTTAAATTTTAATGTTATTTAATAAGCTTTGAAATGAACGGGAACTTTTGACAGTTTGTTAATATTTAAAAGTTTCCGCGACTTTGCCCGCGTAAATATTATAGCCTATGTCATCGGCGTATCAGTAGCTTCGAGTAGGTAAAAAAAAATTATGATCGGATCAGTATTTATAAAAATTACTCTATACAAAGAAACGATGTTAAAAACTCAACTTCTTTATAGTATTATTAATAATTTCCATCAAATAATTCAGATGAAATACTTTAGTAGTAATTCTAAAACCTGTATTAAATTTAGCCTGGTATTATTTGCATAGGCCACTGTGTATACTTTACACTTTATATTAATAATATCTATTTTTGTTCTATAAGCCATTGGCGTTAATAACCGGAGTTAATTCGTCAGTCGTATTTAGAATACTTTGTTAATAATTAATATTTAACAAAGGAATCTAAATACTTAATAAGTTCTATTTTCATCTGAATAAAGCTAAAGTAGATATAATTTACGCAAATGTTTTAATTACACTAAGTACCGCCTAATAGTGAAATTTAAATAGAACCTCTAATTTTAATCTAACCATACAATTTCGTTTGGCATTGGCGAACTGGCTGCCAATAAAGTGTCAATTAGAATCTAAATAAAAACTCTGTGGTTAAATATAACAAAATCTCAGTGTATAAAAAACAACATATGTATGTATTTTACTCACCAGTTTCTGGGTGACAATGGCAACACTCTGTCGGCGCGGTAGAATTCGCCGCGCCTCCGACCGCACAGCAAGGCACGCATTGGTTGTTCAATCTATAGACAAAATAGCCTTTATTGCAACTAAAATTAAACATACATAGTTGAACATTCACGAAAGTCAGTATGGAAACGAAGATATGTTCTTAGGTAGTAGAATAGAATAGAATAAATTTATTTGCAAGAAACATGGAAACATTATAGCTGGTTTGTTACAATAAGAGACACACATATTTCACCAAAGTATGGCATGCAAATTTTTTTTTTTTTTTCATTAATTTATCAATAAAAATTGAACAATAAGAATTAAACAATTTCATATCACAAGTCAATCAATCAAAACAAAAATATTACAATTTTATAACATAACGGTCAATCAATATAATGTCAGAATAAAATCATGAATTATGTCATTACTCGTAAATATAATTTTATTTAATGTCAAAATATCAGACTATATTAATTATTATTGAAATATTCATTAAGGTTATATGGAGACTTTATAGTCAACCATTTACGCAAAGCTGTAGCGAACCGGCTTGCAGGCAGTTTTCTAATATGCATAGGAATGTTATTGTACACCATAATGCACATGCCGTAGCAATTTCTTTGAAAAAATGCACTCCCCAACGATGATTGCTGTTGCAATCGTGTTCCATCTCTCGGACGCAGTCGAGGATTTTTCATAGCGTCAATTTTTGGAAAATGTTCAGGATGACGTCTGACAAGCATACCCATCTCTAAAATATACATACCTGTCAAGGTTAACACTTGTAATTTTCGAAACAGAGGTCGACATGAGTCCATAGGTCCTGCTCCGCAAATGGCTCTAATGCATTGCTTTTGCATAAGGAAAGCATAGTTTATGTCAGGAGAGTTACCCCACAATATTATGCCATATCTCAAAACATAATAAGATGATACATAATCATAATAAGCGGTTAAAGCTACCCTTTCGCCAGCCGTATATCTTAATCTCTTTAATGTCTCACAAACCTACTTAGTTTAGAGCAAACATGATTGATGTGAGCTTTCCAGTTACAATGTTGATCAAGAATGACACCTAAAAATTTTGTTTCACTCACTTCATTAAGCTTATCGTCTTTGTGAATAATATCTAACTTAAAAGGAGTTGATTTTTAATTTGAAAACTGGACGAATGTGCTTTTCGAAACATTCAAGATTAGTCCATTTCTAGTTAGCCATGCGTCAACACACTTTACAGTCTCATTTACGGTATCATTTAGGGTAGAAATACCATTATTTTTTTCCTCTTATACTATTACTGATACGTCGTCTGCATATAGAATAGTTTGGTGATTAAGTGATTTTGGTAGATCATTAATATAAATTAGGAACAGAAGTGGCCCAATTACACTTCCCTGCGGCACACCACGTTCAATTACTAAATATGGAGATCTGTATGGAATAACCGTCCGCATTTAGTTTAGTTACTTCGACACACTGTTTACGATTCGAGAGGTAACTCACCAGCAAGTCCAGAGCATTACCCCTGATGCCGTACTTATCACATTTATGTAACAGTATTTCATGATCAACGAGATCAAAAGCTTGAGTCATATCAAAAAATAATGCTATAGTTGGAATCTTTTTATCTATGTTACTCGTAACAGATTTCATCAACATAAATGCTGCGAGTGAGGTGGATTTATCCTTTTGGAAACCATATTGCTCGTTGACGCATGACTCTATTCTTTGTAAAAAAGCTTAAAATACGGCTTACTAACGCTTTCTCAAATATTTTTGAAAGTACAGAGACAAGGGAAATAGGTCGATAGTTATTAATGTCTAGCTTGTTATTTTTTTTAATGTATTGGCTTTATTATAGAGAGCTTTAGCGCATCTGGAAACTGTCCTTGCTCATATGAGAGGTTTATAAGATGAGTCAACACAGGAGCCAAAATGTCAGCGCATGTCTTGAATAAGAAAGTAGGGAGAGAGTCAAATCCTACCGACTTAGTGTTGTTCAGCGAAGTAATAATTTTTTTAAGCTCTTGCACTGTGCAAAGCCGTAAAAACAAATAATTATTTACAGTTTCTATACCGTCATTCGAGTTCACAATGTCAGCTTGATTATCTTTATGTTTTATAAAATGCATATTAAATATTTTTGCCATGTCAATAGGATCATTTATCACTGTACCATTAAAAATAATGTCTTCAATTTCATTAGGTAACTTTACATTATCACGTTCGTCTCCAATTACCGTCCAAGTTGCTTTGCATTTATTTTTAGCATTCAAGATAAATCGACTATTTTGAATGTATTCTGATTTGTTAATGCAAGCTCTTAGTAATTTGGTGTAGTTATTAATCTTAATTTTTTTTATCTAGAGTTTCTACACAAAACATACTGACGTCTCAGTTCGCGCTTCTTGCCACTAGAAACCTTAATCCCTTTAGTAATCCATTTTATTTTACCACCATTCATATTCACTCTGATTCTCTTAGTAGGAATACAAAGATTAAAAAATAAAACTAAGTCTTCATGGAAACTATTAAATGCCTTATCAACGTCGGTTCCACTTCGGTAAACATCGTTCCAAGTGAGGCTGGATAAGCATTTCTTAAAAATGTCGATATTATGCTTGCTATAGTCTCTAATATTCTTATACCAACAAGCCAAATAATTTATTTTTGTCAATATTGATAATTCTAGGGTTTGTCCAGTGTCATGATCAGACAATTGTAAACTGTGTACTTCACCCTTGGCATTTTTTATGTTACTTGCGATGTGATCAATGCAGGATGCCAATCTCGTAGGCTTTAAAAGTTTTCAGTAATGTTTTGTAATCCCTAGTAGTACGATCGTCTTTCAGAGTATTTATATTCATATCTCCAGCAATGAGAATATGTTTAGTTCTATATTTCGTCAATTTGTACAAAGTTTGCTCCAACAATAGTAAAAAATTTGACAAATTAGAATATTTAGGTACTCTATAAAGACATACAATTATGCATTTATAAGTGGGTATTTCAACAGCACAGTACTCAAAGATCCCTTCCTCTGAAAGTTCAGTAGAAGTTCTCAGTTCGGCAATCAAAATAAAACTTACATTATTTCTTGTTAGATACCGATTATGTAGATCTTAAGCAGTTAATGTTACTACGAAAAGTTATTTCTATCATGAGTATTATAATTTTGCAGCGATTTACCAGATTAATTATTATTTTGTCATCCGATTCGACAACATAGATGATCGCAGCCTTGACTCAGTTTACAATACAAAATAATCATTCCCCCATACAGTTAGAAAAACACATCTCAGGATTCAAACAGACATACTTAAGAGCAAAATGAACGCTTCCCACATAAACATATTATGTGTTTAAAGACAGTTTGTAAATTCTGAAGCCTGCATACCATATTACAAAAGACAACTCGTAACGAAAATATCCACGTAAACAATTGAAGTTTCATAAGGCCCCTTTCGCAAGGGGTCCAGGGCCCTTGATGCCTCTCAAGACCCGCCCCCGGCGTCATACGAGCGCCAGAGCACTTCAATCAAAACGCTTTTGTATAGACAACTCGGGTTTAAATACCGTCTTCGTTTCAAAAAATTGCTCAGAGCTTTAGTAATCTCTTCAAATGTAGCATTAGTACAGTGGCAGCTCTCCGCTTCGCGTTTTTAGTGATGGAAGTGAATATTTGTATATAATTTTTAGAACAGCTGTATAATGTAGATTCATTTTAAATGATAATTTTATATTCTTAATGAAAAATGCTTAATGAAATATTAATTAAGAAAATTTTTCAGTACAGCATTGTAAATACAGAATTGATCGAATATAATGATAATTATATTTCAATCTAATGGCAGTTAATTTACAACTCAAGGAATCACGTTGATCTATTCCTTGAAGTAATGGACGGTTTATTTTTGCTACAAAATGTTTTCACAGTCTACTAAATAGGCATGCTTTTAATTGTAATGAGAAAAATGCAAATATTTTTATATTTGATGAAATACCAAATGAATCTGGATAGGAGTCCTCTACGAAATCCAGATTGACAATCGTACCCGCAATGGTGGACCCCGATTTTTGGTACAGATTTTTTTTGCAGATTTTTTGTGTAAAATATTGTTATTCGTTCTGTATTCAAAGTTCAGACAAGATTTTAATTACTGTTGGATACTGCTGGATCAAATCCCACCTAAATAGCATCGACTGCACTGTACCGTTCTCCTCATATTGTTAATGGATCTCAAATGGACAAATTTGTGCCAACACAATGCCAGTTTAAAAAGTCTTGTGATCAGCGCTGATCCCTTACTTAGGAATTCAAATGCATAACTAATGGTAACACTCACCTATCAATCTTTGAAGGTCTCGAACAGGTGGTGCAACTGAACTTGCCGGGTCCTGAACAAGTTCTACACGTGGAATCGCAAGACTTGCACGTTCCACTGCTCGCTTCATAGTACTGCGAACCAAGACATTCCATGCAAAGACCACCGTCTAACATGAATCGTGGCGGACACGATTTGCAATGTAAAGGTCCTGAGCCGTCGCACTCCCGACAGTAGTGATGGCAATGGCGGCATCCATCTCCGCTTTGGTAGAATCCTGAGGAAAATAGTGTAAATCGTAATTTATTTATAGAATGTGCATCACCATTTGCAACTTGGGGACTTTACTATATTTATTGGCATCAATATTCAAATGCAACTTAATGGACATGTATTATGAGAAGAAAGGTTCAGATTTTATTAAAGTCCTTATTTTTATTATTTCATTGATCGTTTTCTGTATGTAATATATAAGAGAATCAAACTAGTTCCAATCAGAAATGTGAGAAAATAAGCACTGAAATTGTTATGTGTATCCTACCAAAAATATTTCATGTAAAATATGAAATCATATTAAATTAAATCAAAATCATTTATTCAGTATAGACTATTGCAAGGCTTGTGAAAGTTGAAACTCTATGCCATCGGTTCGCAAATCTACTGCGGGAGACCCGCCAGCAAGAAACTCGGCAAGGGCTGCTTTTTTATCATAACATAAGCCAGCAAGTTTGAGGTTATATTACAGAGCCAAGTTTCTAATTCTACATACCCTAGCCAAAATTATCAAATATTTCGGAATTTCATAAAGTTTCCAAATATTATATCTCAGAGCCAAGCTTTGGCCTAAATATACAAGCCTTAACTTTACAGTCTACACTTTAGAAAAAATATGTGGCCAAGCTGTTATGCTACACCAACTTCCCAACAAAACTATATCTTACGCATTCAATATTGAGGATGGATGAGAAAACTCGTACTCAGCGCTCTTAATTAGTTGACAAATAAAAAAAACATAAAAATAACCTTGGGGACATTCCGGGTGACATTCTCCAGCAGCCAACCTCCAGCCTTGTGGGCAAGAAGCGCATTGATCGCGTCGCGGGCCTATACACGTACGGCAGGAGAGGTAGCATTTAGAACAGGTGCTACGATCGGCATAGTACCTGGACAAAAGAACAATTCATTATCATCAACAGCTACTCATATCCTGACTGGGCCACATGTCTTCCCTACGGACAGAACTAGATAAGGGGAACGGGTAATATCCCACCATGCGGGATCATGCAGAGTAAATAACGACTGCAGATACTACCGGAACAAATGGTTTATTTATGATTAACTAGTGCTATAACACCAATGGTTGAGAAACTACGTGCCCCGATAGTCGTTTAATATGTGCGTTTACTACTCCTCCATACTTTATTTTATGTATGCATTGTAAGGAGTTGAGTAAAAACTAGAGCACTCAATGGAAGGATATAGGTATATGAATAGTGACATACCCGTCAGCACACGACGCCCTACATGCTCCTGATTGCAGTCGCAGAGTACCAACGCAAGCGGTACAGTTCAGCCTGGAAACGCATTCAGAGCAGCCGTGCACACAACGAGTACACCGACCCGCCTCAGCATAATAGCCTTGACTGCATTCTGATACACATCTGTAAAGGAGAATATCATTAAAACACATTTTTTTAATTATTCTAAAATTTCTGCATTTACATAAAGCTCAATTGTCAATACAGTACTGCACATTAAAACGAAATCCGAATAAAAATGTTCACTCATAAAACAAAGCAAATAACATCTCGGCGAATAAAATAACAAAAACTCCCGTATTCGGATGTTGAAACTCAAATCAGAATTCAAAGACTTAACCTGTGAATAATGCCTTTATTAAATCCGGTCACGTACCTCTAGGAGTAAGACGTAAAAATATCAGCTAAAAATATAATCGCATAGAAATCTTGTCAAGCATTCTCTTTTGCCAGGAAAGCAGTAAATAGGAAGGTATCTTTCAATTAAAGATCATTCTTTCCCGAGATTTAATACATAGGTGTACACATATACATTTTCTTTCAACTCAAACCAATTCAAAGAATTGAACAAAGGCGATTTATTCTTATTATTGATTTTATATGGCCTCTAGTACTTGTCATAATATAAGAAACCTAAATAACAACAAATAACGACCTTAAAAACAAAGAATATTTTAAACCTACTACTTTAGCACATCTTTGATTTAGGAAACAACTGAATTCTTAAATTGATTTTACACATATGTGAAATATAAAAACGTGTTAGCATTTAAGAAAGTTCTATAATAAAATAATAAGAAGGTGTCCCAAGTACGCACACATCAATTATAAATTCTCAAAGCAAACATCTCTTCATCCTCCACAATCGGCCAATATTGGCCAGTCATAAAGGATCACGGGAAACGAAAAACGAGCCAATTCTGACGATATCGATAGAAATCAACTGCGGAATAATCCTTCTAAGGCTGGTCACGCACCACAATGAGTGTAAACCGATGCTCCACTATTCCCCACTTAGAGTTTCAATTACCACTGTTCAAGATGTACAATAACAAGAAAACTGAAAGATATTTTATGAACACAGACGTACGAAGACATTATTATGCATTAAGAATGATATCAAGTTTCAATAATACAATACATTGAGCTCAAGAAAAGATAAAGAAAAATAGCAAATATAATTACGTTGTTTTTCTATGATTTGCTTGGATACTATTTCAGCACTGAATAATGCAAAATGTAATAATATCAAGTAATCATTTTTTATTTCAAGTTCTATATTTTTCGCGTGTTATAGATAATAAGTTCGGATTTCATGTCACCGATTTAGCTGATGATAAATGAACTGTTCGAGAATTCCGAAAAAGTTCCAATATAATATAACACCAAAAAGGTTTATTGGGTAATGTAAATATACGTATGCGTTAGCTAGTGATTCTTCAAGTTCCCTTAAGAGATTGAGAAAGATCCGTTACGGTAATCCACAAAATAATGGATTTTGTAAAAGGTCGAGTTATTTTGTTTTACAGCTTCATTCTGACAACCATTTATGTAGAATTGGTAGGTATGTATTATACCTTAATACTTATCTCAAACTTTGAATGTTTGCACTTAAATTGATCATTTTTAGAGATCAAGACAAAAGTTATTATTTAAACTTATAAGTGAATTACTCATAACCTGGTTAAATAATTTTTATAATGAATATATCTAGAAAGCGAATATAAAGACATCGATACATCTCGCTTTTTCGAAAAAGTATTCATTTTTTTAGTAAGTTAGAATCAAGGAGTTTTATATATTAGAATTAAGATATAAATAATAATATTTTTTGAATTTTCGGACTTTTATATATCGACAATGACGACTTGGGTAGTCGTGTAATTTTTCTTGTGTTATTACCTCAAAATATATATTTTTGTTATTATCTCCTTACGTGTAAAGGCGACTACCGTGTCATTGGCGAAATTGTGTAAATGCATAAAAAAATAAGAAGAACTGAAGCATGCAAAATCATAGACAAACATTGCCTATCTAAGCAAGAGCTTAGTAAGGCATTATCTAAAGTTACAGGTTTGCTTAAACGACAAATCTACTTATGTTATTCTTAATAATAAGTGATCTGAAATGCCAATAAGACTCCAAACATAATTAATTAATAATAATGCAACGTATGCAATAAATGCATGGAGGTAGAACTTGAAACTGCCTCTGATACACAGACAATCTTCACGGATATGATTTTGACAAAATTATTAGATCAATTCGAAATTTTTCGAATTATCGTTCAAGGATAAATATAATATGGCCTCTGGTGTCATGTTAATTCAAACGAGTTATACACACGAATACGTTATTCTACGAGTACCTATCTTTCAATATATTTGTCAACATTATCGCTATAAGAGTATTCCCTATGCACAGAATAAGAAAAAGATCCATAAACAGGCCCACAACATATAAAGGAAGAATTTTCTTAATTCATAATTTCACAAACCTTTAAAAGTGGCGCGATTTATTGTGGTAAAGAAACACATTTGATTATTTACTTGGTTAATTAACGGATATTAGTTATCTATAAGCAATTAGATCTTATTTGATTCAACAAAGATACTAACCTCTGGTCTTGCAGGAGGTTGGGCGATGGGCAAGTGAGACAGTCTTTTCCTTCACCACCGAAACATGACTCACATGAGGCATCACATCGTTTACAGGTACGCTGCTCCGATATATACTCTCCGCTTATACAGTGTTCTGACCCCACTGGAACGCACTTGCTCTTGCGATTTAATTCCCAATTGGTATCACAAGTTATGCAAAAAGCGCTTGTACATGACACACATCCGATAGAGCATCTGTAACAACATAAATTAGATTATTGTAATATACGGAAATAATAAAACCATTATTACTCTTAAATATATATATCACTTACTTCATACACTCTTTTCTTTTTTTATCTGCATAATATCCAGCAGGGCATGATGTCAAGCAACGGCCATCTAGAGAGTAGCTCGATGCATGGCATGTTACACACTGCGATTCACCGGGGCCTGCACAAGTTTCGCATGAGGTGTGGCATTTAGCACACGAATAATCTTCCGTTTCGTAATACGATGGTGGACATGACGCCATACATGTTCCGTCATGTAGTAACAAATGGTGTTCGCATGATGTACATACGTCAGCTCTCTCGGAACATGTCCCACAATGAGCTGCACAAGGACGACAAACCGATGAATCGCTATCTTCATAATAACCATCCGGGCATTGTTGCAAACAAACGGCTAAATCTGCCACCAATAAATGAGCTGGTGCGCAAGTTAAGCATGAATCCTGTCCCGGCCCAACACAAGTTTCGCAAGACTCGTAGCATGGCCAACACACGCCGCCTTGATTAGCGAAACTCCTGGGAGGACACCGAGAAACACAAGCGTCATCTAAACGATAATGCTTGCAAGCTATACATTGAGACGGTCCTTTTCCATAACATCCTTGTGCATCGCATTCGGGATCACATTCATGCATGACGGGTTTGTCATTACTATCAGCGAGGACGTTTTCCCCATGCGGTGAAGGGACGTTATGTCCATCGAGACGAGCTACTGCCTTTTCTGGATCGGAGCCAGCAGCAAATAAAGTAGGGAAGTTCTGGTAATTGGCAAACGCGTCAGTGTTGTAAAAAGAATCACCGACAGTGTCATAACCGTCTACGGCGGTTGGATATGCAAAGGATGGCGCTGCACCTGACGGTCTCTTCGATCTTAGTCTTACAGGATCAATGGCTGTACCGTAAAATATTAACTGCCACTTTTTGAGAATTCCAGCCTGGTTGACGTGTCGATTACCACCGTTTACAATTTCTAATTTCCATCTACCTTCAGCGTGCTCACCCCAAAAATGAACACTGAGGAATGGCCAGTCATCAAAGTTGGAACTGATTACATCACGTGGTCTTTCGAATAATAAAGTAGACACTGTTCCCATCGGAGATGTCAAAAGTATACGCAGATTACCTCGAGGGAAAAATCTTAGTGAAATTTTGCACTGCACATGTTCAAGATACCTCACTTCATTAACTGTTCCGCTGCAACCATTAACATCCATATGTACAGCTAATGTATATCCAAAAGACGGATCAATAGGTTTGTCTTCATTTATTTCTTGTGACTTACAAATATGTTGAGGTGGGACAGATACCCACTGCTCAGCTAGATTTACCATTTCAGAAGCATCCATTAATCCATAGCCAAATTTGTGGCTTACTTTTCTCTTAACTCCATTTACAATCCAACCTCCTTCCCTCTCAAGAGGCTGAGGTCGCGACGTCAATACTACTAAATACTGCATGTCTCGCCATGTTAACTCGGGATTGGCTTCTAATGCCAGCGCACAAATACCGGCCGCTAAAGGTGCTGAAGCAGACGTACCCGTATGCTCTACTGTACAAATATGATCTGCTCTTAATCTACCATCCATATCGACTGTGGCTACACTTTTGTCATGACCAGGTGTGCCTGAACTATATGTAGTAGCTAGCGTAGAAGAACATTCCTCTAGGTACCAAGGTTTATAGCCACCTTGTGTCGCACTTGATATAGACAAGGTGAAAATACTATTCGTGTAACCATCACAATTACAAGAATCTGTATGTCTACCGCCATTTCCTGATGCCCACACGAATATTGAACCTTTACCGCGACGACCACTAGTCACTCCATAAATGAAGGCCCTGCAAAATATGGCTCAATTTAATTTATTTTTATAATATATACATATTATATCATACATAAACTAACAAAACCATACCTTCTAGCTAGTGGTCCTGGACCATCAACAGTTTTTCCGTCATCTTCTGGTCCCCAAGAGGCACTGTAGATATCAATATGATCTGGGTTGAGCCCCAAGGCCCTAGCCTCAACCGCGTCATTCACCACTCCGTCTAACATTCTTACTCCACCGATACTAGCATTGTACGCAATACCGACACCACAGTATTGATTGTAAGCTACAGCAGCAACTTCTCCGGCGCAGCGGGTTCCATGTTTATTGTCACCGTTATCCTGAGGCATTGGGTCATCATCATTGCTATTGATATCCGTAGAAGCATTTGGATCCTGCAAAATAATTTAGTTTTATGTATGGTCTTTGCAAAATAGTTTGTCTGTCAAGAAAATAACGAAAGATCGATATCATTACAAATCATATCAGTTTCGCCAATATTACCTATTATATGTAAAAAAATAACACTTACATAATTTTGAGCTAAATCTGGATGATTAGTCTGAATACCATCGTCAAGGATAGAGACCACAACGCCTTTACCAGTATACCCCTTCTGCCATGCTGGTGCCACATTCATATCTAGACCATCTTTTGCTCCACCGTTCTGATACATTAAAATTAAATATTACATTTCTCATAACATCAATATATTCGTTTAAATAATATGCATAGGTACATTAATATTAATATTTATATATTAATATTTTGCCTACAAATAAGCAAGTGGTGTGTTAACTCTAATAAAATTCATAATCAAATCTATGTTGGCCTTTATTAATACTTACCAAATACCACTGCTCTTTAAATAGTGGATCAGGAAAGAAGGGGGAAGAAGTGAGCGCGCGATGATGCGTGCGGTGAGGTGGCAGCCGTCTCGTGATTTGTGAGAATAGAGCTCCATCGTACGGGTTATAGTCACGTTTAATTCTCCGCCGTTCTCGCTGTTGCTGTACCCATCGTACCTGATGACAATACATGAATACATCGATATCTCTGGGAAGAATGATGAAGAATGAATTGGTGTTTACCCAAAATTGTAACTTTACAAGAGACGCAAAAACGTGTGACAAAAAAATTTTTTTGCTGACTACTTTTTTTGTTATTATACGTATTATTCTTTGGTTTTAAATGAATTTTAACGCCACATACTTTGTTTTTGAACCAATCTCATAAGTTTTCATTTAGCATTGAGTTACGACCTAAATATTTTAATAAAATAGTGAATACGCCTGTTCAGAAAATACACAATGCGGTTTTACTACGTTTATCTTGGCATTCTAAACGGATTGGCCTTAAAAGCCAACATAATCTTATCAATATAGTGTAAAATTGACTGTATGGGGATGTATGACCACACACCAGAATTATATTGAGTGATAAACTTTATAATATAAAAATAACCTTTATTGCGTAAAAAATTGTAATTTAAATACTATTTGATGAGTCGCGAGTTGAATGTGGACTGACTTGAATGTAATAAAAATGATGACTTTATACAAATAATATATAGACGATAGACCGTACATTGACTATAGTATAATTATAATTTTGTTATACGAGTATTTACCTACATTTAAATCGGGCAAATACTTATTACATTGACTTTTACGCCCAAACATTCAACATTATTGATAGAAATAAAAAACACCTTACGATCCCGGGACTTACATAAATACGAATGCGGGGAATGAATATTTAAAATAAATGATGAATTTATTAAATATATTTAATATAAAATAATGTCGGTAGAAATCTTAATATAGCTCAAGTTTTTTTTCAAACAAACATTTATTGTGTTTGTTTTATTTACAAAATCAAAAGTTTACAAAACATGACCCATTTACTATCAGAATCATTAGTGATGGAACAAGTGGTTCAAATGTTACCGAGTATGCCCAAACACCGTAAAGTCAATAATATTCAACTCATCTCCAATATGCCATACTCGGAAGCAAGTAATATCAAAAAATAACCCTGGCTCATAACCTTTTTTTATATTACTGATAAAATTACCCATGAATAAAAAATCAGCAACAAAAATTAAACCATGAATCTAATTCCAAGTAAAGAATTTGTGTTATTGGTGTACACCGGAATCAAACGAACTTTAATCGTCCATATCCTACAAGATACGCCCTTTTTCCTATCTCAAAAATTAATCTCAAGTATTAAAAGCAGAGTTCGGTGTATCAAAATAATTAAGAGATATTATCAAAATTAATTAAATTAGTTTATAATTGCTTTATAAGTAATCCAAAATGGTTATGAATTTAACATTACATCTCTAAATTTATTAGCTGAAATTACCCATTTAGGAAAATAAAAGTGGAGCGCTTCCTAGGCATTATGTTTTAATCTTTAATAGGACTTATCTATCAGAGGTCAAAAATGCAGAGTAATTAAGATCACTTGAATTCATATTTACTAACGAAGAATATTAAAGCTCGGCTTAAATTAAAACACTATCACAATAGTAAACAAACAAAATTTTATTGAACATAACATTCTTTTGAAAATGAATGAATCTCTTCCTAATATCACGTGTAGCAATGATATCTTATTGGATAAAATTACCCTCATTCTAATTATAAGTAAAAAAAAAAATTATATTCCTTCTTAATATTACTACTCTTTACCTACTCTACGATTGACGTTTGACGTTTATAAAAAAATCTTAACTATTATACTAGTTTTGCATTCTGATGACGAAATACTTCTAAGGTTGAAATAATTTCGGTATAATCACAATTAACGGCTGTCGACCCTGTCGTAACTGAATACCAAGTAGGTATATTTCTCAGGGGGGTGTAACAACATCTAACGGATCCCAAGCCAACCTCACCTGCATGCGGTACACCCTGCCGACTAACAAATGAGGCTCTGGCGCTCCCCACCAACCCGCACTGGGCCTGCTTGGTGGGAGACGGCCCAAAACCCTTCAATGATTTACCCAATCGAAAGGCCCCAAGTGCCTGGCGTTGCCGTAAGCCGTGCCGGCACGAACGGACGCCGACTCGGCAAAGGCACCAGGGGTGTGAAGAATCTTGTCCTTGTCGCTTTGCCGGGCGGCAAGCGACCTTTATACTTTTGTTAAACGACCTATAACGTACTGGCAACCTATAACGTACGCACACTGCGGACCGAGGAGAAGCTGCTGGAACTAGAGAAGGAATTGGGCAGGATTCGTTGGAGTATTGTAGGATTATCCGAAGGCCGAAGAGAGGGCGAGGATACGATGATCCTTAAATCCAGCAACCTGCTCTATTTCCGGGAGGGCGAAGATCTGTCCCAAGGTGGTGTTGGGTTTATCGTCCACAAGTCCCTCGTGAACAATATTGTGGGGCGGTAAGGTCCTGGAGTGGCGACCGCGTACCGGGAGACGGACTGTTGGTATGCCCCCCACAAGGTGGACCGACGATCTGGTGAAGGTCGCGGGAAGCCGCTAGATGCGGGAGGCGCAGGACCGATCGCTTTGGAAATCTTTGGGGGAGGCCTTTGCCCAACAGTGGGCGTCTCTCGGCTGAAATGATGGTGATGATGATATTTCTCAGAACGAGTGTTCAGAATTTTGCTTTTAAATTCAAAAACTGTTTCAGTTTACTTTGCAGTAGTTAGTGCTGTATTTACTTTCGAATTCAGAAACGTTTCGACTTAATTTTTCGTACGTTTATGAAAATACCAGTCACGTGAGTAAATAAACACATACTTCAAAGGGACTGATCTACATAACTATAAAAATGGAAATATTAAATAAGACTTTATGATGAAGATCGATAGATACATAACATTCAATAGTACTACTGAAAAAAAAAACAAACCATGACAAGTAATAAACCAACAAACGGAATTCAATTTCACGCGAAGCCCTTCTAAAACGCAGAAAAAAACTGCAACTGGAATTGAAAAACTTAAATATATAGTAACTACACAGGCGAGCTGACTAAACTATCAAGTTGGAATGTTTAGAAATTGCAATTTCACAGTTGTCGGAACGCAATGTACTTTCGGAGACCGACTGTAAGTGGCTCTGTTTCTGCGGGGGATTTGTTTCTGCATCTGCGTTAATTATAACTAAATCATTAACATTCAACTGCTAGTAAATATTCATCCACCTGTAAAGCTCATAGAAATAAATATGTGTGCGGCACCCTATAGCTACATTATGGCATCTTAATCGACTTCATCTATTAAAGAGAATTTGAACACTAACTTTTATCTGTGTTAAATTTGGAAGTCATCAGCAAAGTATAAACATTGTTAGGTAAATATTCATTTTCTAAAAAAAACATGCCGCTAATAAATGAATAGTCCTAGTAAAGTAAGCGAATAAAAAAATCATCCTTAGCCGAGCAATTACAATTCCGCAAACGATGATGACGCTTGCCTCCTATCTTAATAAGTTTCATATTTTATCACGTAACACCAAAGCGGTTTCGTATCTGCTCATTTTAATGCAGACGTAAAAAGCGCGTGGTGCGTCCCATAATCGACCGAAGAGATCTAGATGGGACCTCTGAGCGGGTCCAATCCTATACCCAAAAAGAGACGAGTTAAAAATTTACGTTTCTAAATTGCGTTGTCTTGATGTCCGAGGGACTAATTTCATTAACGGCCTCGGGTAAAAATGCGCGGCGAATAAATGCGGTGCCCGCACACATTTCACACAAACCCTAGCGTTTGTCATGCTCTATAATCTAATATAAAAACTCTCGTCCCTTGCTTAGCAGTGGATATATAAAAGCGAAAATTCGTTCCTTGAAATTATAACGATCAACAATTGTAACTGTTATTACACTATTATCGTGTAATAACAGTTACAATTGTTGATCGTATTTAGTTTTAATATTTCGAACCAAACGCTTACGGGTTCGCAGGCGTGGGTTAAATGATTTTGAAAATCTTATTTTACCTCCATTAAGTAATTTTTTTAGGATCCTTTTAAGCCAATTTTATATCACAACAGATTAAATAATTGTGTGTCAAAATGCTAGGACCACCCAATAATTTGAGCTGTGTGTTGATAGATCTGTTTCACCTTTCCTTTTATATAGATTAGTAAAAAAATTGTCAATCAAGACCTGAAATTTATCACGCAGTAGTTTATGTAAATATTGATATTCAAAAGGCCACATTTAGAAATCACTTAGCCGTAAAATCAAAGCAAAACGCGTGAAGGATATTTTCCGAAACACACCAAGAATGGAACACAACAACAAATTCTGCAGTGTTGATATTTTCTGTGCCGGTTAGACCAATTTCATTAACAGTGGTGCCAAGTTAAAACGCAACGGGAGCAAAAAGTGAGACTATATTTTATGACGTCATCCGGACGGTCATCCGCGCCCGCGTTGTCGGTGGTGGGCGTCACTAATTTGATACAAAAACCTTGCAACAAAAAGCCTCCCAGTTTTTGATCAAAATTTAGTTCGTATCTTTTTTTAAGAGAAGAACACCTTTTTGTTTCTTTTTGTGTTATCTTATGTGTATCATAAATAATTACTCTTAAGTCTTATGTAAATCTAAATTATGAACAACATATTTTGGAACAGTGAATTATTACTCAACATCAAAATGATAATCAATTAAATTAGCACTAATATGCTTTACTCTTAATGTCCAAAGATATATTTAAGTTTTGCATTAAAAATCATTGTAACTATAATATTTACAACCCCGTGATTTTGATTACAGGATCTAACGGCTCTTAAAAAAGCTGTTTTTGGTTAAAAGATTTATCTTCTCTTGTGAATGTGCAATTTTTGCAGGTTAAAATTTGCACAGTTGTCTCGGATTTACCTAATACTTTAATCTGTGGAGATTTACTATTATTAAATATTATCACAATAATAACACCGGATTTCTATAAGGTTAAAGCTTCATTCTATCAAATATTCATAGACAGTTTATTAACCGTTGCTATCACATGGCATTTCGTAAACCGCTTTTACCATACACCCGATAA